TGTGTATTTTTATTGTGCTTGTTTTAGTTATGTTCTTGTCTTTTGTGTATTTTTATTGTGCTTGTTTTAGTTATGTTCTTGTCTTTGTGTATTTTTATTGTGCTTGTTTTAGTTATGTTTCTTGTCTTTTGTGTATTTTTATTGTGCTTGTTTTAGTTATGTTCTTGTCTTTTGTGTATTTTTATTGTGCTTGTTATCATTGTGTGTTTTATTGTGCTTGTCGTGTGTGCTTTATTGTGCTTGTTATCATTGTGTGTTTTATATGTGATTGTTGTCGTTGTGTTTTTATTGTACTTGTTGTTGTTTGTCCTTTTTGAGTTTGTTGCGTGTCTTTTTTTTTGTGTTTGTTGTTTCGTGTTCTTTTTTTGTGTTTGTTGTTGTAGTGTGTTTTACTGTATTCCTTGTTGTTGTTTTAGTTATTGATTATTGATGTAGTTGTGGAATTTACTTTGTTTAGTGTAATTGTTTTTAACTCTGTTAAGATTGCGTTTTTTTCTGTGTTTGACGCCCTCATGTGTGTAATTACTTGTGTTTATTTTGTCGGTGTGTGTTTTACTGCATATGATTGACATCGTTGTGCATTTTACTGAGGAATTTGTTGTCAGTGTTTTCAATGTTTGTCGCCTCAGTAAAACAAAGTTATCGATGTTTGTCGCCTCAGTAAAACAACGTTATCGATGTTTGTCGCCTCAGTAAAACAATACGTTTTTCGATGTTTTGTCGCCTCAGTAAAACAACGTTATCGATGTTTGTCGCCTCAGTAAAACAGCGTTATCGATGTTTGTCGCCTCAGTAAAACAGCATTATCGATGTTTGTCGCCTCAGTAAAACAACGTTATCGATGTTTGTCGCCTCAGTAAAACAACGTTATCGATGTTTGTCGCCTCAGTAAAACAGCGTTATCAATGTTTGTCGCCTCAGTAAAACAACGTTATCGATGTTTGTCGCCTCAGTTAAACAAAGTTATCGATGTTTGTCGCCTCAGTCAAACAACGTTACCGATGTTTGTCGCCTCAGTAAAACAGCGTTATCGATGTTTGTCGCCTCAGTAAAACAACGTTATCGATGTTTGTCGCCTCAGTAAAACAACGTTATCGATGTTTGTCGCCTAAGTAAAACAACGTTATCGATGTTTGTCGCCTCAGTAAAACAACGTTATCGATGTTTGTCGCCTCAGTAAAACAACGTTATCGATGTTTGTCGCCTCAGTAAAACACACGGCATCACATACTGCTTGTTTTATCAACAATAATAAAATATTCAATAATAATAAACGATAAGCAATTTTTAGTGCGTGAGTTTCTGTCGTCTAGCGTCTTATTCTTGATTTGTCGTAGTTGTATGCTCTGTTTTTCTGTGTATTTTGTTGTGTGGTTCTGTTACTAACAGACTCCTCAAACCCTGAAACACAAGTCCTTGTTAATTAGGAATTACAAGCTTGTACTCGCCTTATGATTCTGGTTTAACAGCAACGGCACGACATGTCATGGAAGACAGAATTCCCTTCCTAGGCTTAGTTTGTGGTTATCGCTTGTGAGAAATCTTAGTTCAATCCTTGTTCGTTGTAACTTGTTAGACTACCCAAAGAATAGTGGTAGCAGTCGTGTTATTATTATTAGTAGTAGTAGTACTAGTAGTGGCAGTAGTAGTAGTAGTAGTAGTAGTAGTATCATTAGTAGTATATTAAAATTATCAACAATAGTTGAAGATACTATATTACTATTATTATTATTATTATTATTATTATTATTATTATTATTATTATTATTATTATTATTATACGTAGTAGTAGTAAGCAGCCCAGTAAACTCTTCATTCATATAATTCTAGACGAAATTGGCACAGGAAATTTTTTACAGGAAACAGTGTCTGAGAATCTATAGATAAACCCCTCTCACAGCTATGCTCCACACCAGCCAATAACACTGGCCCCTCGCACCACCTTCCTGCATCATTTGCACCTTTCTCACCTTTGTCATCATAAGCATTTTTCACAGTCTTCCAGTATCATTAGCACTTCTCACCACCATCAAGTATCATTTGCGTCTCTCCAGATGTTTGTGCATCTCTCTCTCTCTCTCTCTCTCTCTCTCTCTCTCTCTCTCTCTCTCTCATCATCTTCAAACACTACAATTTGTTTGAAGAGCGTCACAGAAGACGGAAATGAAGACAAATACATAACTTTCATCCCGGTAAGTATTTTTTTTTTGTGGGGGGCAAGGGGAAGGAAGAGGGGCAATGTTTCGCTCTACCGAGAGCTTTACTGGGACAACTTTCGCTCTGCAGACAGCTTTCTGGTGACTTGAAAACTCTCAGTCCGGCAAGAACCGTGTGTGAATTGAACTGCGACCACAGAAGTGCCAGCCCAGCACGCTAACTTCTGCACCACCAGCATTAAGAATAAATATTACCAGCGGGAACTTGAATTTAGTCCATTGCATGAAGCAGGAGTCTCTGTTACCCTAACATGTTCAGTTCTTTACATAGCTGACAAATGTCAACTCTGGCACCTGTTGATGAGGCCCTGGTTGATCAGGCCCTGATCCACCGGGAGGCCTGGCCAAAGACCGGGCCGCGGGGGAGTTGATCCCCGGAACACCCGCCAGGTGGACTCCAGGTTCCGATTTTTTTTTTTTACCCTCGCAGCTCGGCCAGGTTGTTTATTGACAAATGAGACACTTGTGCAATATTTAGGTATCTATATTCACATTTTCTGTTTATTGCCTGTTCAACCTGGCTGTTGCTGTTAGTGGTCCGCTGGCTCACATATCCCTCGCTATCAGCTATAAGGTAACACTAGTTTTTTTTTTTTTTACATATATTACCAATGTCAACTCACGTAAAAAACAATGGATTTTTTATTTATTTATTTTTGAAGCTAACACTATGCAGGAGATATACTAGGAATGAGGTAGAATGAGCTATTTATATTTATAAGATATTATCCCCTCTATAATATAATAAGATATTAAAAGGACCCCAATGGAAATAGGTCACTTTGTCTGACTTTTTTTTTGGGGTTATACTGGGTTCTGTACACATATGTTGTTATGTATGATAATCTATGTAACTGTAATTGTGTATACCTGAATAAACTAACTTATAACTGGATCATACCTTTCTCTCACTACATAAATAAATTTATATTGTACTAGAGTGTGAATTTTCTGTTTGTCTTAACACCAACACAACAGATCATACACATCCTTCACAGCAGAATCCAACACCACAAATCTTTGCTCCAAATGACGTAATGTCAACAATAGGGAAGAAAAGACACGCATTGCGCAACAAGCCTTAACTGGGGCAACGTTTCTCACAACGTTTCTCACTCTGTAGAACTTTATCGAGCCATGATTTAATAACGATCTACAGAGCGAAACGTTGTCCTAGTAAAAAAGGTTGTTTCGTAAAGCGTGATTTGTCTTCCCTACAAACCCTACGGGGCCCCAGACAAGATAAGTCTTTATCACTCTAACTACACATGACGGAGTCGGGAATTAAGTCTAACAGCTGTCAACATCATTTTCCTTTCGTTTTCTCTCTTCACGACCTAAAGTAGGGTAATAACCTGGAGGTCGCGGCGGGTGAGGATCATTACGACCCGTTGGGGTTATACAGCACCTGAGGAGAGAAGGAGGGGAGATAATCGGGTTTGACCCAAGGAACGGAGCATGGTACCTACAAAACCTTGACTCAAGAGCACTTCACTAGCATCAAGGTGCCCCTTCCTTCTCCCTTATTGAAGGCTGCATGATTGGAAACTTGTGTGCAACATGCAACGGATTGTGTAATAGCCAGTCACCTCCTACTCATCTCACTAATTAGGCAATTACCCAATTACAACCCAAAATATTTAGGGATTTCCACGAGGGCTTATTGAGTTCTCATACATACTTTTTATGATACAGGGAGCTGCAAGAATGGAGAAGGGGAAGAAATGGGGAAGTTCAGAGCCCAGGAAAAGCGTTGTAGGGACATTGAAAGCGATAGGTAAGCAAAGTTAAGAGGCCTGACCACTCTGGGAGTGTTTTAAGAGTGTTTCTGGTCATAAAGTGATGAGTGGTGTGCATACGCTTTGAACTGTGGAATAATTAAAGTCAAAGTAACGTGCCTGGAACAATTCACAGTCACAATACCGTGGCTGGAATAATTCACAGTCACAATACCGTGGTTGGAACAATTCGCAATCAGAATACCGTGGCTGGAAAAATTCACAGTCACATTACCGTGGCTGGAACAATTCACAGTCACAGCATCGTAGCTGGAACAATTAAAAAACCCACGATACCGTGGCTGGAACAATTCACAGTCACAGTACCGTGGCTGGAACAATTCATAGTCACAATACCATAGCTGGAACAGTTCACAATCACAGTACCGTAACTGGAACAATTAAAAAAACCCACGATACCGTAGCTGGAACAATTCACAAATACCTTGGCTAGAACAATTCACGTATAACTCGTACTTAGCAGAAGATACTTTATACTTAGTTCCGGTCCGTTCTGAATCATTATCAAATCACAGCTGAATAATGGTCTCAGATGGAACAATACATCGTTCAAGGCTTCCTTTCCAGCGTGTGTGTTGTTGGAGAAAAGTTATCTATACAGTATTTAATTACTAATATTACTATGTAGTTCATACCCCATCATTGTTAAATCCGTGTGAATCATACAGCAGGGTAAAGGCTTGATTCTCCGTCCGATAACTGCATCCCGATGCCTGATCAATCAGGCTGTTACTAATTGCCTCGATAGTACTGTTCACCGGTTCAAAACATTTCATTTATTTAATATATTCAAGGGGAGCAGCTAAACCCGTAAGGGTTATACCTGGGAACGGGAGGCAATCAGGTTTGATCTGAGCAAGGGGATGGCAGCTCTAATTCCCAGGATCAAGAGCCCTTTACCAGCATCAAGGCACCGCCCTCTCCCCTCCTCCTTGAAGTGTCAGTCGTCCACAACATTTCAAAAGGATTGAAAACAATGACTTACGTAATAATGAAAGTTCACGATCCTGTCTTTCATTTTCCTTCTGTCTTGACTTGTCACTAAGTTTCTTTGTTATTCTCTCCATATATTTCTCCTCCATTCTATTTCGTCTCGCATTTCTCCTTGCATCTTTCTTGTTATGTGGGTTTGCTGTACTGAAACTGCTTTCTGTCACCACACACTTCCAGCTTGCGTTATATCACCACACACTTCCAGCTTGGGTTATATCACCACACACTTCCAGCTTGGGTTATATCACCACGCACTTCCAGCTTGGGTTATATCACCACGCACTTCCAGCTTGGGTTATATCACCACACACTTCCAGCTTGGATTATATCACCACACACTTCCAGCTTGCGTTATATCACCACACACTTCCAGCTTGGGTTATATCACCACACACTTCCAGCTTGCGTTATATCACCACACACTTCCAGCTTGCGTTATATCACCACGCACTTCCAGCTTGCGTTATATCACCACGCACTTCCAGCTTGCGTTAAACATCGATCGAACTTACATCACAGACTTCACTGGACATGTAAATCACACGTAACAAAACTGATGTGTTGAATCACTGAAAAACGCTCAGCGGTAATCACTAGTGGCTCTCATTGAGCCTGCTTGTTCATCGGCACTATCTTTAGTGACACCCACTCGCACTATCGTCAGTGGCACCTCGCGGTATCGTCAGTGCCACACTAAGCTATTAGTACCAACATCTCGCGCTATTATCAATGGTACCTCGCGGTATTGTCAGTGCCACACTAAGCTGTTAGTGCCGACATCTAGCGCAATCGTCAGTGGCACCTACTTGCGCGAGTTTTGTAATTAGAGCTCGTGGTATCTCTTCGCGATATTGTCAGTGGCACTTTCCCACGAACACCGAAACTATTGCTAGTGGCACCACCTCACACTGTCACCAGTGGCACCACCTCACACTATCACCAGTGGCACTACCTCACGGGAGCGGCACCCACGGCACTCTGACTCTGCGTCAAGGGCTCTGCTTGTGCGGCTTCACTCCGCTGCTCCATGCCAGATTGGCAACTTTCCCAGAGATCAGTCTTCTTTTCCACAATGGTCCGAGCGAACGGAGATTTGAGGTACGGAGGAGGCTGTGTGTGTGTGTGCGTGTGTGTGTGTGTGTACTCACCTAATTGTACTCACCTAATTGTGGTTGCAGGGGTCGAGACTCAGCTCCTGGCCCCGCCTCTTCACTGATCGCTACTGGGTCCTCTCTCTCTCTCTCTCTGCTTCCTGAGCTTTGTGTGTGTGTGTGTGTGTGTGTGTGTGTGTGTGTGTGTGTGTGTGTGTGTGTGTGTGTGTGTGTGTGTGTGTGTGCGTGTGTGTGTGTGTGTGCGTGTGTGTGTGCGTGTGTGTGTGTGTGAGGTCTCTCCCTCACCCAGTCTGACAGTCAGGGTGTAGGGTCAGGGTAATCAATGGAAAGCCTCGCTGATGACATTTCTCCTTGAAACTCCGTTAATGAGCAAATTTCAGAATATTTACGAATAAACACACGAATATTTTTTCCAATATATCCAAAAACTACATCAAAATTAACCAATTTCAACACTGAAACCGTTCCTTATCAAATGCTAAAAAAAATTTTAGTTACTATTTCGTTATCTCGAAAATGTTTCTCTTGTTCTGTTACATACTAAGAACAGCAGTATATATACACTGAGAGATGTGTGTATATATACACCTCGAGATGTGTATATATCTCGGTATGTACACCTACAAAGTTCAACAGCCACTACTTTTGAGCTAATTCCTGCTATCTCTCTCTCTCCTCTCTCTCTCTCTCTCTTCTCCTCTCTCTCTCTCTCTCTCTCCTCTCCCTCTCCCTCCCTCTCTCTATCAATCTATCTATGTATCTATCTATTTATTTATCTCTACTCTCTTTCTCTCTCTAGCACTCATGTACACACACTCTTATACACATCATTCTCTCTATGCTGATAAGAACAGCATCAAATCCTTCTTTCTAAGGATGCTGAAGCATTATCTGGTAGCGCGAGATGAAGGCAGAGTGCACCATATAGCGTGAGATGGAGGCAGAGTGCACCATATAGCGTGAGATGGAGGCAGAGTGCGCCATATAGCGTGAGATGGAGGCAGAGTGCGCCATATAGCGTGAGATGGAGGCAGAGTGCGCCATACAGAGTGAGATAAAGGCAGAGTGCACCATATAGCGTGAGATGGAGGCAGAGTGCACTAAAGATTATGAGCTCCGGTGATATTCAGCAAGGCGGCTGTTTTTAAATTATCATATGCCGCCTAGGGAATAAGAGGCAGACAAGTTTGATCCAAGGAAAGAGAGGGAGAGAGAGAGAGAGAGAGAGAGAGAGAGAGCTGCTTCATTTCTTTCATCAAGAGCACCGGAGATCCATCAAGGCAGCAGCAGTCTTGACGGGTAACGTGTGTAAACTATTGTACAGTAATCCTTCTGTTCCTCGCTGGTTGACCCAGAGCTTCCCTCGCCAGTGTTCTGTAGACAAGTTGCAGGACGAGTTTTCATTGGGATAACGTTCCACTCTGTTTAGAGCTCTTGGTAAAACTCTACGTAGAGTTTGGGAACTTTTGGCCAGCGATAAGGATCATATCCCCTCTCTGACACTGGCTATAATTCACAGGACTTATGCGTATGGAATTTACACAGTCACATAAAATTTCAAATTGAGACAGAGAGATTTTGTGCGTATTCACAGAGTTGTTTTCAAGGGGTCGGGATTCACCACCTCTTATGTGTTAGTTTTGTGTGTGTGTGTGTGTGTGTGTGTGTGTGTGTGTGTGTGTGTGTGTGTGTGTGTGTGTGTGTGTGTGTGTGTGTATAAACTCGCCCCCTTGTGTACGAATAACCTAACCTGTGTACAAAAAAAAAATCTAGGGTAACGGCACACCATTTACGGCACCTGCTTAATACCATCCATCACAGGAAGGGCTTTTTGCTGGACGCCATCTGTTGGCTGACTCCCTGTATGGCCGAGGCGAGTATCATACATATTCATGTGGAAACACGGAGCCTGTAGGGCTCATACGGTGTCTAGAGAATATGAGGTAATCCAGTTTCATCCTAGGGAGGAGAAGGCAGCTCCACTTCCTTGCATAAGCAATCCATTCTTGCTCTTCATTTCTGCTTGAAGAAGTAGTCTTTTACTGGCAGAGAAATGTGAGCTGTGTGTACTCACCTAGTTGTACTCACCAAGTTGAGGTTGCAGGGGTCGAGTCCAAGCTCCTGGCCCCGCCTCTTCACTGGTCGCCATTAGGTCACTCTCCTTGAACCATGAGCTTTATCGTACCTCTGCTTAAAGCTATGTATGGATCCTGCCTCCACTACATCTCTTCCCAAACTATTCCACTTCGTGACCACTCTGTGGCTGAAGAAATACTTCCTAACATCCCTGTGATTCATCTGTGTCTTCAGCTTCCAACTGTGTCCCCTTGTTGCTGTGTCCAGTCTCTGGAACATCCTGTCTTTGTCCACCTTGTCAATTCCTCTCAGTATTTTGTATGTCGTTATCATGTCCCCCCTATCTCTCCTGTCCTCCAGTGTCGTCAGGTTGATTTCCCTTAACCTCTCCTCGTAGGACATACCTCTTAGCTCTGGGACTAGTCTTGTGGCAAACCTTTGCACTTTCTCTAGTTTCTTTACATGCTTGGCTAGGTGTTGGGTTCCAAACTGGTGCGCATACTCCAATATGGGCCTAACATACACGGTGTACAGGGTCCTGAATGATTCCTTATTAAGATGTCGGAATGCTGTTCTGAGGTTTGCAAGGCGCCATATGCTGCAGCAGTTATTTGGTTGATGTGCGCTTCAGGAGATGTGCCTGGTGTTATACTCACCCCAAGATCTTTTTCCTTGAGTGAGGTTTGTAGTCTCTGGCCCCCTAGACTGTACTCCGTCTGCGGTCTTCTTTGCCCTTCCTCAATCTTCATGACTTTGCACTTGGTGGGATTGAACTCCAGGAGCCAATTGCTGGACCAGGTCTGCAGCCTGTCCAGATCCCTTTGTAGTTCTGCCTGGTCTCGATCGAATGAATTCTTCTCATCAACTTCACGTCATCTGCAAACAGTGACACCTCAGAGTTTATTCCTTCTGTCATGTCTTTCACAAATACCAGAAACAGCACTGGTCCTAGGACTGATCCCTGTGGGACCCCGCTGGTCACAGGTGCCCACTCTGACACCTCGCCACGTACCATTACTCGCTGCTGTCTTCCTGACAAATATTCCCTGATCCATTGTAGTGCCTTCCCTGTTATCCCTGCTTGGTCCTCCAGTTTTTGCACTAATCTCTTGTGTGGTACTGTGTCAAACGCCTTCTTGCAGTCCAAGAAAATGCAATCCACCCACCCCTCTCTCTCTTGTCTTACTACTGTTACCTTGTCATAGAACTCCAGTACGTTTGTGACACAGGATTTCCCGTCCCTGAAACCATGTTTGGGTGCTGTTGATGAGATCATTCCTTTCTAGTGTTCCACCACTCTTCTCCTGACAATCTTCTCCATGACTTTGCATACTATACATGTCAGTGACACTGGTCTGTAGTTTAGTGCTTCATGTCTGTCTCCTTTTTTAAAGATTGGGACTACATTTGCTGTCTTCCATGCCTCAGGCAATCTCCCTGTTTCGATAGATGTATTGAATATTGTTGTTAAGGGTACACATAGCGCCTCTGCTCCCTCTCTCAGGACCCATGGAGAGATGTTATCTGGCCCCATTGCCTTTGAGGTATCTAGCTCACTCAGAAGCCTCTTCACTTCTTCCTCGGTTGTGTGTACCGTGTCCAGCACCTGGTGATGTGCCACACCTCTCCGTCCCTCTGGAGCCCCTTCTGTCTCCTCTGTGAACACTTCTTTGAATCTCTTGTTGAGTTCCTCACATACTTCACGGTCATTTCTTGTTGTCTCTCCTCCTTCCTTCCTTAGCCTGATTACCTGATCTTTGACTGTTGTTTTTACCTGATGTGGCTGTATAACAGCTTCGGGTCAGATTTGGCTTTCGCTGCTATGTCGTTTTCATATTGTCGTTGGGTCTCCCTTCTTATCTGTGCATATTCGTTTCTGGCTCTACGACTGCTCTCCTTATTCTCCTGGGTCCTTTGCCTTCTATATTTCTTCCATTCCCTAGCACACTTGGTTTTTGCCTCCTTGCACCTTTAGGTGAACCATGGGCTCATCCTGGCTTTTTCATTATTCCTGTTTCCCTTGGGTACAAACCTCTCTTCAGCCTCCTTGCACATTGTTGCTACATATTCCATCATCTCATTAACTGGCTTCCCTGCCAGTTCTCTGTCCCACTGAACCTCGTTCAGGAAGTTCCTCATTCCCGTGTAGTCCCCTTTCCTGTAGTTTGGCTTCATTTGTCCTGGCCTTCCTGCTTCCCCCTCCACTTGTAGCTCTACTGTGTATTCGAAGCTCAAAACCACATGATCGCTGGCCCCAAGGGGTCTTTCATATGTAATGTCCTCAATATCTGCACTGCTCAAGGTGAATACTAAGTCCAGTCTTGCTGGCTCATCCTCTCCTCTCCCCTTGTAGTGTCCCTTACGTGTTGGGACATGAAGTTTTCCATACCACCTCCATCATCTTAGCCCTCCATGTATCATGGCCCCCATGTGGCTCCAAGTTCTCCCAGTCAATTTCCTTGTGGTTAAAGTCGCCCATGATCAGGAGCTTTGCCCTGCATGCATGAGCTCTTCTGGCCACTGCAGCCAGTGTGTCAACCATCGCTCTATTGCTCTCGTCATACTCATGCCCTGGTCTCCTGCTGTTCTGTGGTGGGTTATACATCACTGCTATTACCACCTTGGGACCTCCAGAGTGAAGTGTTCCCGCTATGTAATCACTTCTTCTCCACTGTCTCCTCTCTCCAGCTCATCAAAATTCCATCTGTGTTTGATCAGCAGCGCCACTCCTCCACTCCCCCTGTTACTTCTGTCTTTCCTCAGTATCTGGTATCCCGTTGGAAAGATGGCATCTG